ATTACAGTATGCTGAAAGCTAAAAATTATAACATAAAGTTAATGATTTACATTTATTTTACATTTGATTCTTGCCAGATTCTTAATACTTTACTAGGTACTTTATTTTATAGAACTGAAACTTTTTTTTTCTATAGCTGTTGTTTAAATGCATTTTTTTACATATAGTAAATGAATAATATCTTACAAAATTAAAAATTAATGGGACCAATTACTACTTATATTAACGAGCCATAAATTTGGTATCTGTTAAGTCAACAGTAATGATTTATAATAGGATTTCATTATTTTTTCATTTAGTACAATACTTTCCCAGGTCTCACCAGCCTGGGATACAACTACAGCAGTGTTAATAGGAGTATCCCAAATTTCGCTGCCTCTAGCTCCTGTCTTCATAACACAGGAGGTCAGTTTCCCCTCCAGTTCTACCCATTTGTGTCTGGGAATCCCAAAGCTATTATGTGAATTCAGGAATTCCTCCTAGTGTCTGTCTGGAACCAGTGAGGCCATCTGAAAGGGAACCCTAGAACTGCCACCCTGGTCTTCCTAAGAGCCCCAATGTCTGCCTGAGCTGGTGCTCCAGGCTATACACCTGCAAATCCTTAAGTGCCAAATACTCTTCCTTTCCCTTGGCCTGCCGGCTTTACTCAGACCACGCTGGTTGGTCACACTTTTCACAAGATGCCATATTTTTCTGAAGACTGCTAATAACTCAAACTCATACTTCAAGACTAAAGCCACATTCGTTTACCTGCTGAAATAGTACCACTTTGTGGCAAGAACTTAAACTTTTGTTTTCCCACCAGCTTCGAAAGGAAATACCCCTCAGTAAAATTTTAATTTGAAGGATTGTATTATTTCAAAATTTGGCATAATGTAAGACTCTTGTAATATTTTTTGTATCACATTTGTTTAAGTTTGCAAAATTTAAAGTCACATGAAATTTGATGGCTTTGTGCTATGTGTGCTGTACAGTAGTGGGGAACATGCCTTTCCTTCACTTTGTATTGCACAAATAGTGCTGTGTGCCTCATAGGAGCACTTCTTTTGGATTCTGCCTGCAGTTCTTTCTTCCCTAAGAGTCAGACCCCCAATTCAGGTGGCAGAGACAGATGCCATGTGACTCCCCACCCCTATCCCCATTCTTGTTTTTCTTTCAGAGGATAGGAAAAGAAAAAAGAAACAAAAACAAAAAACAAAAAAAAAAGCCTTTCTTAGTCTCCTGTCAAAACAAAAATATTTAAATTGACTTTTAGAACTCTATATGTGTGTGTGTGTGTGTGTGTGCGCGTGTGTGCGCGCGTGCGTGCGTGCTTGTGTGTGTATTGGGGGCGGAGGGAGAGAGAGAGACAGAGAGAGAGAGAGAGAGACAGCAGAGAGAGAGAGAGGGTCTCACTCTGTTGCCCAGGTTGGAGTGCAGTGGCACAATCATAGCTTGCTCACTGCAGCCTCTATCTGAGCTCCAGTGATTCTCCAACCTCAGCCTCCCAAGTTGCTGGTACTATGGATGCATGCTACCGTACCCAGCTGATTTTTTATTTTTAGTAGAGACAAGGTCTCACTATGTTGTCCAGGCTACTCTTTTAAGTCCTGAGCTTGAGGGATCCTCCCACCTCAGGCATCCAAAGTTTTAGGATTGCAAGTGTGAGCCACCATGCCTGGCTGACTTTTAGAATGTAATATTAGACAGACCCAGGTAACAGAATCCATTAGATTTAGGCCAGTGTTAACCCACCTCCACAACTCGTTAAATGTTGAAAATATAGAAAAGGAGAAGGAAAAACTAAAACTTTTTTTCTGTAGCTATTGAAATCCTCACATAGAGTTTGCAGTGCAAATATATGGTCCTTGTCTGGATTCTAGTTTGAACAAACCGTATAAGACATTTGGAGGCCAATTCCAGAGAGTTGGCTATGGCATGGGTACAATGATATTAAGCAATTACTGTTAAGTGTCTAAGGCAGGATAATGGAATTGTGGTTGCAAAGAAAATGTACTCATTTTTTAAGAGATGGACATTGTAAGATTTGGGGGATGAAATGTCATGTCTTAATTTATATACTTTAAAATAGAAAAAGCAAGTATGGCAGAATGTTGACAATGTTAAACATGACTATGGGTATTAGGTGTTTATTTTATTTCTCTGTAAGTTTGAAATTTTAAATCTTTTTTTCTCCAACCCTGGCAGAGGAATGAAATTTTTTTATAAGCTATTTTTGCAGGACTGGGTTGTAATCATGCTACATATAATATCTTTTCAAAAAGAAATCAGTTTTATATTTCACTTATTTTTCTCTCCTAATCTATACAAATATGTTTCCTTGAAACTAGTGTGTGTGCTATTGTATGCTGCTGGAACTCAGCTTAAAAATTGGGCCTTAACACTCTTCTGTCCCTAGTGTACATGAGGAATAAGACATACTCTCGGTCATAATAGTGACTAATCACCGCAGTAATTCCTTAGAGCAGGTAAGAGTGGAGGGCTAAGAAATCTTGGGAAGTGAACCTGGGTAGTTTACAAGAAGTTTCACAGGTAATTCCAGCTGGCTTCCTGTCGGCCACTGGCCTAAAAAAGGAGTGTCAAACCCTAACTAAATATTATGAAAAATCTTTCACAACTAATTCATTATTTATTTACACATTCCCACTCTTTAACTTTAAAAATCATCTCTTATGGTAGAATTTTTTTCTTTTATTTCCAGACTAGAAATTAACCTTACAGTGTACCTGGACTCTCAGAAATCATATTGTGGTGCACTGTCCATTCCTCCCTCACTTTATTTATAACTACAGGTGTCTGGGGACAGCAGCACTTGTGGTGTGAGTGTTATGTGAGGGCACTCTGAGGCCATCTGTAGCCAACACTAACTTGCTGTTTATCCACTGACTTCCCCACAAAGTTGTTACCAGAATCCTTTGCCCTCCATTTGTGGTAGTCAGATGGCAGAGAATTGGCTTGCATCTAAGCAGTTTTCTAATTCTGTTGATCGATCAATACATACATATTTGTTGAACTCCTACTCTGTGCAAAACACTGCTAGCTGGAATTAAAAGGTGAGAGGAAGAGTATTTTCCAATCAGAAGCAGTTAAACAATATGCAACGACTATGAAGGGTGGGAAGCCATTGGCTGGAGTGTGAGTGGTGGAAACGTGAATGGAGGAAGTGAAGCCATGTGACTAAGTGGTCCAGGCGTGTGCCCAATGGTTGGATTGGCCAGAGATTCCTTGGAGCTGCAGTGAAGTCAACACATGCCCACCCCCAAGTGGGGAATGGGGCATTACAGGGCTGGAGTCCTCTTGCATATTAGTCCCTTGGAGATGCTCTCTTAAAGTTGCTTTTCCCTGTGAAGAAAACAAGAGTATACCAATAGTAATAATAAGGAAAGAATCATGATTTTAATTGTTTCTCTTCTTCCTTCTTTTCCCTTCCCTCCCTTCCTCCCTCCCTCTCTCCCTCCCTCCCTCCCTCCCTTCCTTCCTTCCAAACTGGGAGAACAATAAATGTAAAGTTAAAGTAAAAATTTATGAAGAGAAACTCTTAAAAAATGAATATTAGAATAGCAAAAATTCTCGTATATTATAAATCGTGAATTAATGAGGATTTAAACTACTACTTTCAATAATAGAATAGAAAATACCTCTATGCTCTTTTAAAGAATTGATCATCAGAAAAGAAAACTTGAGTTCAAATGGTGCTTGCTGAATTTTAATAATTCTTTTCAAAGTCATTATTACTATAATGTTTTGAACTACATTCATTTGATCGTATAATATACTCATATTTTATGACATATCATTTACTGTAGTTATTTATTTAGGACTTTTCAGGTAATATCGTCTAAAAAGAATCAGGCTCATGAAATTTAGGGACCTACAATAGTACTGAAAAAGTGTAATGTTACTGAAATTTGTTTGCCTCTGCCACCTCATCCCCTTCTTGGTTTTTATCCTGTCTGCTATAATATCCTCAATACTCCTTCTTTACTTATCTGGATTCCTTTCTTCTATAAAAATCTGAATTTAGTGAAGAATGACTTGAATCATTTATGTTTTCCCTCACTGTAGGCATAATTTGCATTTAATCTCCATCAAAAGTGAGGATTTTCACATGTCAGGGATCCTGTGGGCCTTTCTTGTACATATATATGCCATATCTGTTAATTTAACAAAGTATTTACAGCAATGTGCAAAGGAGAAAACATTTGCCTTAGAAAAGTGGAATTCAGAATTCCTGGCTTTTGGTATAGATTTGGACTAAACTTACCTATACACCAATTAGTTGTGACTCATATGTTTGTATTTCTATATAGTAAGCAAAGTGGCAATAAAATAAGAGGAAAACTTAACACCATTAACACCTAACAGTAGCCATGTGCATATAATAAATATGTTAATATAGTAATATCTTTACTTATTAAAGAATGCACAGAAGGTGTAGATGATTTCAGTTAGCTCTTGCCACATGTTGTTGTGAATAGTTTGTAAGTGATAAATTTGCATCTCTATAAGCATAGTCCACACTTCAGACTTTAAATTTATGTGGTTTTCCTATTCCTGTTTGGTAAATGAGGAATTCCTCTATGTTGAAAAGAGAATCTCAGTTTGTATCCTTGAGAAAATCATTCTGTTTGATTCAGAATGATTCAGAAAATCATTCTGTTTTAATAGTGAACAGCAGAACTGCAATTCTATACTATTGTAAATATAGATTATCATAACAATGCCATGTTGCTTAACTCAAAATGTTTCAAACTAAGTGAGATTATAATGGGAAAATATATTAAGCTGTGGTTTTAACTTAAAAAAATAGCTTATAGACATACACAAAATTCCAAAACATAAATGGTATATAATTCTTTCAGCCCATTCCTGTCTCCAGCTGCCCAATTCCCTTCTGTCTTGGCATCCATTGCTCTCTTTTTCTTGAGTATCTTGCCGAGGTAGTCCGTGCATTACATTTATTTCTAATATTGGGTATTTCAATTATTTATTTACTTTAGATGACTCCAGAATTGATGATAAAAGCCTGTAGCTTTTATACTGGACATTTAGTAAAGACTCATTTTTGGTAAGAATGTGATTTTTATAAACAATTTCTTCCTCTTTGTGTTTTTATTCTTGATATCCTCCGTACAAAGAAAAATTCACTTTGGGCCAGTTGTGCTGATTTTATCTATTTAATCATGTTTCTACCATTTTGTATTATATATTTCTGTTATATTTAATCAGCTTTTACTTAGTTAAAATATGTATTTTACTTCTTTAAGGTATAACTATCTTTTCTTAAAAAATAAAACTTTAAAATTAAAAATACAGTTTCACAGTCAACTTATCTGAAACCGTTGGAGCCAAATATGTTTTGGAATTTAGACTCCTTTTAAAAAAAAGACATCATTAGGTGGTTCTTTTGGTAAATTGAAATTATGACAACATGATTTCATCCCATGATTTCTTTATTTTATCCAAAAAGATATATGACTCATATAATCTCCATTTTTCTCTATTACTATTAGGAATTCTTCAGGTCATACCCAAGTTGTAGAAGTTTCTTTCTATGCTGTGGCTTTTGAGATCATAAAGGAGATGTCGTTCTTTGTTCCCCTTAATTTATTGACTGATATATTGCCCTAATATCAGAATATTATTTTTAAGAAAATGTCTTCTGCCTGCAGCACTTGGAGAGACATAGCTCGTACAAATGAAAATGTCGCCCTGGCTGAAAAAATGAACAGAGCAGTGACATGTTACAATTTCAGACTTCAGAAATCTGTATTTCATCACTGGCACTCTTACATGGAAGACCAGAAAGAAAAACTTAAAAGTAAATTCTTTCTTAGTAGCAATTACTTTTTGTATCAATTTATTGAAATAATAAAAAAAACTAACAGTTAAGCATACTTTGTATACTTAGAGAACCTGTCTTTTTTATGTCTAGACAATTGTCATGAAATGAAGGTAGAGCTGCTAATTTAAAAATACTTAATGAAATTTGTCTCAAAGGATTTTATTTTAATAGAAAACAGACATATTTAAAATCACATCTTGTGTGCATTTGTGTGTATGTATACATGAATATAAATAGAATCTACTATGAGCTTTTTTATGTAATAGAGAGCTGGGTAGGTTCCAAATAATATGGACAGGTACCAAAACTGACTATTTTTGTAAAGAGGTTTATGCTTTTTACAAATATTACATTTAATGTATATATGATGAAACTTAAAAATAAAAATTATTTTCTCTTAAGACCTTGGGGGTTATACTGAGTGAGTGGGAGGTACATTAATGTGATCCATGCCCACTCAGTATAACCTCCAAGAGCTCTTGTCTTCCGGTTAGATTTTTTTGCAGCTCTCCTGATAATAACTTGTTTATGGCTGTTGCAAACCAGAGAATCATTTCTTTTTGACTGGCTGTGGTTGGTATCTCAGTTAGAGTGGACCCTCTGAAGATTTTAATATTAGTGTAATGAAGGGTTAGGAATGGTTAATCATAGGACATAAAATTAAATTCAAAGGCATTGGATCTAAATGCTACCTTATGACTGTATTTCTTATGAAAAAGTTTAGAAGTTCTGGTTTTACAAATAACAACCTTGTTTAAAAAAAAAGAAATGATACATGTCTTGAGATTTCTATTGCAGCTATTACATCTTAATTTCTGAGGGCACAGGTGATGTTTCCAGGTTGATAAAGTCTCGAGAGTACTAATGCTATCAAAAGTAATTAATTTCAAGTGTAAATAAAACCAAACAAAAATGATCAGATGTGACATTGGCTCATATTATAAACATGATAGAATATTAAATCACTTTGTGTTTTTTGGAAACAGCTATAACTGTTAATATATACAGTAATCTAGTAAATTTCCTTCAGATACGCTATTGCGAATACAACGGATCATCTATTGTCACAAGCTGTCCATTATCCTAACAAAATGGCGGAATAGAGCAAGACTTAAGAGTAAAAAGAAAGAAGATGAGCTGGTATTGTATATTGAAACAATTTTTTAAGAATCTGGATTTTTCAGTTATATTCATGTTGCCTCAAATAATAATGCTGTGTGTGGAAAATACTAAAATCCTGAATATTATCTACTTTTGAAGGGATTCTTGTTTTTTTTTTTTATTTTTATTTTTTTGAGACAGTTTTGCTCTTGTTGTCCAGGCTGGAGTGCAATGGTGTGATCTCGACTCACTGCAACCTCTGCCTCCCAGGTTCAAGCGATTCTCCTGTCTCAGCCTTCCAGGTAGCTGGGGTTACAGGCGCCTGCCACCACACCCAGCTAATTTTTTTGTGTTTTTAGTAGAGACGGGGTTTCACCATGTTGGCCAGGCTGGTCTTGAACTCCTGACCTCAGGTGATCTGCCCACCTCGGCCTCCCAAAGTGCTGGGATTACAGGCGTGAGCCACTGCGTCTGGCTGGGATTCTTGTTCTTTAACTTAATAATTTAAAATTTACTTCAGCTATTAATATATCATTTCTTAATATTGGTTTAGTATGTTCAAAGTAACACTATGATCAGACATAGAAACATGCTGGATTTTTTTTCTGTAGTTACATTATTTAGTAGGAGATATTTTATTAATATTCTTTGAAATACAAAGTAAGGGTAAATAGGAAAGAGAATGTGGGGTGAAGTTAAATCCTCTTCTTTTGTGGTTGCCCCATGGATCAATGCCCCCACTTGCCTGAATTTGGTTCAGATGTTGAGACCAACAATAGCACACACGCAGCAAAAGAGTATGAGGAGATTTATTACTTATGTATGCTTAAAACAGTGCTAGAGCCTGTGCTGAGCTTTAAGCATCTCAGAGGTTACTTGAGATGCTCTCTAGAAGTTTATAATGTGTAGGTTTTGAGCTGATGGTCTTGCATGCTGTCCTGTAGGCTTTGCCTTTTGCACACTACCTTTTCAGTGTTACCAGTGAAACAGCTCTACTTTGGGTACCTAACACTATATTAGTCTGCTCATTCAGTCCTTTCCACCACTCTGTATTATTAAGCTAGTGTTTTGATCACTGCCCTCTATGCCTGATCACTGATTGTCTAATAGTGAAATAGGTAACAGTACATGACCAGTCCACCCCTGTACACCCACTTCAGCTAAACATCCCTGAACATAAAAATTAGCCAGGCATGGTGGCAGGCCCGTGTAATCCCAGCTACTTGGGAGGCTGAGTCAGGAGAATCTCTTGAACCCTGGAGGTGGTGGAGGTTGCAGTGAGCCGAGATCACGCCACTGCACTCCAGCCTGGGCAACAAAAGCGAAACTCCTTCTCAAAAAACGAATAAACCAAAAATCCCTGAGAGCAGGCAGTGTTGTTCTCTTAGTAGTCTCTGAATTCTGAGCATGATGTTTTGCACACAGTTGATATATATTAATATATATAATGTATATTGTATATACTATAATATTGTTAAGATATATGTGTATTATATAGTTAATTGTGTGTTTAGAGAACATTTTTTCTAGATACATGATTTATTGACCTAACAATCATTCTACATTCCCTTAAATGGAGTGAGGCTGGCAGGGGTATGCTGGGAGCAGAGGCAGGGAACACCTGTGTGTCAAGTGTTCCACGTGTGTTCTTCCTCAGGCTCTAATATGTGTGTGTATATAGACACACACACATACATACACACATATATATAACATCAATATATATTACCCCAATATTGTGTGTATATGTTTATGACTGAAATACTTACTACCTTTGTTTATTACACAGTTTTCAGAAGTGTATCAAGAGTTAAAATGGGGACTTCCTGTGATGATAAATTTGGCAATTTCCCAAATACATTACTTCTGACTTCCCTTTTTTGTTATCCGTATGTTAATCACCTTCACTCCATGCACCAATTACCAGTTTTATCATTGCCAGAGCCTTGACTTTGTGGTCCTCACTTCCTCATCTGTGAAAGAGGAGACTAGATCAGCCTTTCAAGGTGGCTGCCTGTGCCAGTGTTTTATGACAACTAATGGAAATGATCTGTAATACTTTGGTGGTTCAGAGAACGTTAAACATGCTTATGAAAAATTATAGTTGTGTAGTAATGATGACAATCATAAATAATGTTTAATTTGTTCTATTCTTGTGTCAAACACTGTGCTTTATGTCTGTCATCTCTCTTGATTGTTACAGCAATTCCATGGAATTTTAAAATTATTTTCATTGCAGATACTAAAACATGAACTTCAATTGAAAAAATGGAAAAATAGGTTAATACTCAAAAGAGCTACTGCAGAAGAATCCAATTTTCCTGAACAAAGTTCTTCTGAAGGCTCTCTTGTAGACGAGACTCTAAAATGTGACATTTCACTGTTACCTGAAAGAGCGATATTGCAGGTTTGTATGAATACACTATACATTATATACTATAATCTGCCAGGTGTGGTGGCATGTGCCTGTAATCCCAGCTACTTGGGAGGCTGAGACAGGAGAATTGCTTGAACCCAGGAGGCAGAGGTTGCAGTGAGCTGAGATGGTGCCATTGCACTCCAGCCTGGGCGACAATAGCAAAACTCCATCTCAAAAAAAAAAAAAAAAATATATGTGTGTGTATATATATATATATATATATACACACACACACACACACACACACATATAATCCTACTCTTGATATATTGCATTCAGTTAGAATAAGGTTATTTTTGCCCATTATTTCTTCCTTTACAAATTACCTGTTCCTATCTTGTCTGTTTTTACATTGTAATTCCTATAATTTTCTTACTGGTTTGTAATAGCTCTTTATATTGGCAATATTAGCCCTTTGGAATATATTTGGAGATTTTTTCCCCTACACTTGATGTTTGCTTTCAGTTTTGCTTGTGGAGTCTTTTGGTGACAGAATTTTTTTTTTTTTTTTTTTTTGAGATGAAGTTTCACTCTTGTTGCCCAGGCTGGAGTGCAATGGCGCAATCTTGGCTCACTGCAACCTCCGCCTCCTGGGTTCAAGCGATTCTCCTGCCTCAGCCTCCAGTGTAGCTGGGATTACAGGTGCCCACCACTACACCCAGCTAAAATTTTTTCTGTTTTTAGTAGAGATTGAGTTTCACCATATTGACCAGGCTGGTCTCGAACTTCTGACCTCAGGTGATCCACACACCTTGGCCTCCCAATGTGCTGGGATTACAGGCATGAACTACCGCGCCCGGCTGATGACAGAAATGTTAAATCTTTGTGTAATAAAGTCTGTCATCCTTGCCCTAATTATTTCTCTCTCTGTCTCTTTTTAACTTTTATTTTAGGTTCAGGGAGTACATGGAAAGGTTTGTTATATGTAGGTAAATCGCGTGTCATAGGAGTTTGGTGTACAGATTTATTTTGTCTCCCAGGTTATAAGCCTGGTATTCAATAGATACTTTTCTGATCCTCACCATCCTCCCACTCTCTACCGTCAAGTAGATCCTGGTGTCTGTTCCTTTCTTTGTGTCCATATGTACTCAGAAGTTTGGCTTCCACTTGTAAGTGAGAATGTGCAATATTTGGTTTTCTGTCCCTGTGTTAGTTTGCTTAGGATAATGGTCTCCAGCTCCATCCATGTTGCTGCAAAGGACATGATCTCATTCTTTTTTATGGCTGCATAGTATTTCAATGTATATATATATATACACACCACATTTTAAAAAATCCAGTCTACTGTTGATGGATATTTAGGTTGATTTCATATCTTTGCTATTGTGAATAGTGCTGTGATGTCCATATGCATGAATGTGTCTTTATGGTAGAATGATTTATATTCCTTTGGGCATATACCCAATAATGGGATTGTTGGGTTGAATGGCAATTGTGTTTTATGTTCTTTGAGAAATCACCAAACTGCTTTCCACAATGGCTGAGCTAATTTACATTCCCACCAGCAGTGTGTAAGCATTGCCTTTCTCTGTAACCTTGCCAGTATCTGTTATTTTCTGATTTTTTAATAATAGCCGTTCTAACTGGTGTGAGATTTACATTTCTCTAATGATTAGTGATGTTGAGCATTTTTTCATACGCTCATTGGTTGCGCACATGTCTTCTTTTGAGAAGTGTTTGTGTACTTTGCCCACTCTTTTAATGGTGTTGTTTTTTTCTTGTAAATTTAAGATCCTTATAGAGTCTGGATATTAGACTTTGGTTGGTGTGTAGTTCACAAATTTTTTATCCCATTCTGTAGGTTGTCTGTTTATTCTGTTGATAGTTTCTTTTGCTGGTAGAAGCTCTTTTGTTTAATTAGGTCCCATTTGTTAATTTTTGTTTTTGTTGCAATTGCTTTTGGCATCTTCATTATGAAATTTTTGCCAAGTTCTATGCCCAGAATGGTATTTCCTAGGTTATCTTCCAGGGTTGTTATAGTTTTAAGTTTTACATTTAAGTCTTGAATCTATATTGAGTTGATTTTTGTATGTGGTGTAAGGAGGGGGTCCAGTTTCAATATTCCGCATATGGCTAGCCAGTTATCCCAGTATCATTTATTGAATGAAGAGTTATTTCCCTGTTGCTTGTTTTTCTTGATTGTGTAGATGTGCGGCATTATTTCTGGGCTCTGTTTGTCTATTATTTCTGGGCTCTGTTTGTCTGTTCCATTTGTCTGTATTTCTGTTTTTGTAACAGAACCATGTTGTTTTGGTTACCATAGCCTTATAGTATAGTTTGAAGTTGGGTAATGTGATGTCTCCAGCATTGTTCTTTTCACTTAGGATTACCTTGGCTATTTGGGCCCTTTTGTGGTTCCATATGAATTTTAAAATAGTTTTTTTCTAATTCTGTGAAAAATGTCATTGGTAGTTTGATAGGAATAGCATTGAATCTGTAAATTGCTTTGGGCAGTATGGCCATTTTAACAATATTGATTCTTCCTATCCATGAGCATGGGTTGTTTATCCATTTGTTTGTGTCATCTGTGTTTTCTTTCTTTCAGTGTTATTTAAATCTTGTTGTAGACGTCTTTCACCTCCTTGGTTATGGCTGGTTATAGCTGTATTCCTATTTATTTTATCCTTTTTTTTGTGGCTGCTGTGAATGAAACTGAATTCTTAATTTGGCTCTCAGTGTGGATACAGAGTCTCACTCTGTCACCCAGGCTGGAGTGCAGTGGTGTAACTTTGGCTTACTGCAACCTCTGCTTCCTGGGTTCAAGCGATTCTCATGCCTCATCCACCCAAATAGCTGGAATTACAGGCATGGGCCACCAAACCCAGCTAGTTTTTGTATTTTTAGTAGAGACAGGGTTTAGCTATGTTGGCCAGGCTGGTCCGAACTCCTGGCCTCAAGTGATCTACCTGCCTCAGCCTCCCAAAGTGCTGGGATTACTGGCATGAGTCACGGTGCACAGCTAGTACAGTGATTTTGTATCCCAAAACTTTGTTGAAGTTGTTTGTCAGATTAAGTATCTTTTGGGCAGAGATTATGGGGTTTTCTAAGCATAGAATCATATTGTCTGCAAACAGGGAGTTTGACTTTCTGTCTTCCTTTGAGTGTCTTTTATTTCTTTCTATTGCCTGATTTCTCTAGCTAGGACGTCCAGTACTATGTTGAATAGGAGTGGTGAGAGAGGGCATCCTTGTCTTGTTCTGGTTTTCAAGGGAAATGCCTTCAGCTTTTGCCTGTTCAGTAGGATGTTGGCTGTGGGTTTTTCATAAATGGCTCTTATTATTTGAGGTATGTTCCTTCAGTGCCTAGTTTGTTGAGGGTTTTTAACATGAAGGGATGTTGAATTTTATTGAAAACCTTTTCTAAATCTATTGAGATGATTGTGTGGTTGTTTTTAGTTCTCTTTATGTGGTGTATCACATTTATTGATTTGTGTATGTTGAACCAACCTTGCATCTTAGGGATGATGCCTACTTGATCATGGTGGAAAAGCTTTTTGATGTGCTGCTGGATTCGGTTTGCTAGTATTTTCTTGAGGATTTTTGCATCCATATTCATCAAGCATATTGGCCCGAAGTTTTCTTTTTTTGTTGTATCTCTGCTGGGTTTTGGTATCAGGATAATGATGGCCTCATAGAATGAGTTAGGGAGGCATTCCTCCTCCTCAGTTTTTAGAATAATTTCAATGAGAATGGTACCAGCTCTTCATTATACATCTGATAGAATTCAGCTGTGAATCCATCTGGTCATGGGCTTTTTCTGTTTGGTAGGCTTTTATTACTGATTAGATTTTTTTGTTTGAGACAGGGTCTTGCTCTGTCACCCAGGCTAGAGTGCAGTAGTGTGATCATGGCTTACTGCAGCCTCAACCTCCCAGACTCAAGCAGTCCTCCCACCTCAGCCTCCAAGTAGCTGGAACTACAGGCATGTGCCACTATGCCTGGCTAATTTTTGTATTTTTCTGGTATAGAAAGGCCACTATGCCTGGCCTTTTTACAATCTTACTGTCATGGCTTACTGATTTGATTTTGGAACTCAATATTAGTCTTTACAGGGATTTAATCTTCCTGGTTCACTCTTTGGAGGTTGTATGTTTCCAGGAATTTATCCATTTGTTTTAGGTGTAGAAGTGTTCATAATAATCTCTGAGGGTTTTTTGTATTTCTGGGGGGATCAGTGGTAATGCACCCTTTGCCATTTTTGATGGTGTTTATTTGGATCTTCTCTCTTTTTTTTTTAAATTAGTTTATCTACCAGTCTACCTTGTATTATTAATTCTTTCAAAGAAAAAGCTCCTGGATTTATTGATTTTCGTATGGTTTTTTGCCTCTTAATTTCCTTTAGTTCATCTCTGACTTTAGTTATTTTTTGTCTTCTGCTAGTCTTGGGGTTGTTCTTGTTTCTCTAGTTCCTCTAGTTGTGATATTAGGTTGTTAATTTGAGATCCTTCTAACTTTTTGATGTGGGTGTTTAGTGCTATAAACTTCCCTCTTAACACTGCTTTGGCTGTGTCCCAGAAATTCTGATATCTTGTATCTTGTTTCTCATTAGTTTAAAAGAATTTCTTGATTTCTGCCTTAATTTCATTATTTATCCAAAAGCCATTTAGGAGCAGGTTTTTAATTTCCATGTAATTGTATGCTTTTGATTGATAGTCTTAGCATTAATTTCTATATTTATTGCATTGTCTGAGAGCTTGGTTGGTATGATTTTGGTTTTGGGGAATATGGTGAGGATTGTTTTATGCCCAGTATGTGCAGTTGATTTTAGAGTATGGACCATGTGCAGATGTGAAAAATGTATGTTCTGTTATTTTCGGATGGAAAGTTCTGTAGATTTATATTAGGTCCATTTGGTCAAGCATTGAGTTCAGGTCCTGAATATTTGTGTTATTTTTCTGCTTCGATGATCTGTTCAGTACTGTCATTGGGGGTATTCAAAGGTCCCACTATTATTGTGTAGTTATCTAAGTCTCTTTGTAGGTCTCTAGG